ACATGAATTAAGTGTCAAAAACCACAGAAGTAAATGGTAACAATTGAAGTGAAGGCAATTAATATAGAGAACTCCTAATTAAAAGTTTCAGCATGAATTTAGTAGATTAGAGAAAGTTTCTTGAAGGAGAATGAAAGTGATCTGTGTTTCAGAGGACATGGAAGAGTCATAGCAAGGAAGCCAAGTGGCATGTTTACAGTTGTTCCAAGGTAGGAATTAGCTCAGTGTTTTCTGAGAAGTGTACTAGTTGGATGGAAAAAGAACAGGTATATTTGAAGGAGACTGGGGATAAGAGAATGACGGGAAAATTCAGATTATGGGAGTTCACTTGGTAAGCCGCTGGAGTCATCCTAAATGTTGAGAATCCTGATCTGGACCTGAAGATGGTGAAGGAGGTGGACCTAGTGAATACTGTTTTTAGGAAATCTTAAGTGGAGTTGAGCCCAAACCAGAGCAACACATTAGCATGCTAACAGGGGATCCAGAGCATGACAACAGGAGATCCAGGGCAGAGCATTTCAGAGCTCTGCTAGGCAGACAGTAGACCTGGATTGTATTTTGGCTGAGACCATTTTGGTCAAACAAAATGTAATCAAAAGCAACATGGTGAAAGCAACTTTGTGTGACAGTTTGGTTGAAACAGACTTTGGGAACAAAATGAGTATGTGAACCACTGGCATTCAAGTTTTTGTTAAATAGTAATGATAGTAGCTATCACTCATGAATGCTTTCCACATGTAGGGCACCTTGCTAGATTTGCAGATCTTACCATCTTTAATCTTCACAGCCATTCTACGAGATAGGCACTACTATTTTCTCCATTTTACAGATGAGGAAACTGGTGGTTTAGAAGATTAAGCTGTTTGCTCAGTCACATAGCAAGTCAATCTAGAGTGAGACTTTGAACCCTGAGCAGCCCAAAGCCCTGCTCTCTTTGGTCATCATGTAGTACTGCTTCCTGGTATCAAGGAACATAGTTCATTAATTATCCATTGTTATCTTTAACTACAAAAGTAATACATAAAATAAATGAATGGGCCAGGCACAGTGGCTCACGCCTGTAATCCCAGTGCTTTGGGAGGCTGAGGTGGGCGGATCACAAGGTCACGAGATCAAGACCATCCTGGCCAACATGATGAAACCCCATTCCTACTTAAAAATACAAAAAAATTAGCTGGGGCATGGTGATGTGTGCCTGTAGTCCCAGCTACTTGGGAGGCTGAGGCAAGAGAATTGCTGGAACCTGGGAGGCAGAGGTTGCGGTGAGCCGAGCTCACACCACTGCACTCCAGCCTGGCGCCTGGTGACAGAGCGAAACTCTGTTTCAAAAAAAAAAAAGAATTAATTAATTAGAGAAAAATTTTAAAATGTAAAGTAGCAGAAGATGACTATACAAAATACTCGCCATTTCCTCCATTAGAGACAGCCCAATTAATACCTTTGCTTACATATCTTTCCTTTTTTGGGCATATTGATTTATATACATTTTTAAAAATTAAAATTACATTTGATAAATCTTTTAAAACCAATTGTTAGACATTTGACTGTTTTCAACTTACATTCTTGGGCCTTTAGGCTGTGGTGACTTTTTGATATTGCAAACAGTACACAGTAGAAATAATCAGCCAAAAACAACGTGCAAATAAAATAAAGCAAAATGAAATGAGGCTAAAAAAGGACAAAACAATTCAAAACAATAGGCGGTAATACAAGAGATGCATAACAATTGGAATAACAATTATAAAACCATTCATTCTGTAAATATGTTGTATTCAAATTATAATTCTCTGAAAACCGGTGGCTGGGGAATATTTGCTTTTGAGCAGGCCTTGATGTTGAACACATTTCTAAGTGTTTTTAACGGAATCACCTGGAGCCAGTTTCCTGAATCAAAAGCAGGATCTCAGCCCCTAGGCAGAGTCACAGGAAGGTGGCTAATCCTTAAGTGCATATACAAGGAGTCCAGGAGGTCCTGTGCTCAAGGGAATAACCTAATGACCAGAAATGATAGATGTAGTAAAAAGAATTAATCTCAGGATCAGAATATTAAACCAGTGATCAAATCTGAAGCACAAGGTTATTGCTAGGCTAACAATCACACGACAACAGGAAGCTGATATTGAGTCCCAGAGCATTGGGGCAACACTCTTGTCTTAGTCTATTTACATTGCTACAGTGGAATACCTGAGACTGGGTAATATATAAAGAAAAAATGGTTATTTGGCTCACAGTTCTGTAGGCTTGTACTGAAGTATGATGCCAGCATTTGCTTCTGGTGATGGCTTCAGGCTCCTTCCACTCATGGTGGAAGGTGAGGTGAAACCAACATGTGTAGTGTTCAAGGAGGGGATGAGGAGGGTGCCTGGCTCTTTCTAATAATCAGCTCTCTGGGGAAGTAATAGAGGAAGAACTCGTTCATTACACTGAGGTTGGCACCAAGCCATGTATGAGAGATCTGTCCCCATGACCCAAACACCTCCCATTAGGCCCCACCTCTAACATTGGGGTCCAGATTTCAACATGAGGTTTGTGGGCACAAACACCCAAACTGTAGCAACTCTAAATCCTTCCTGCCAAAGGGCAGGAGATTAGGCCTGGGATGAGCTTCCAGGTGGACAGAATGGCTCCAGAGATTATGAATGTGACAGGCCTTGTCAATCTGATGTTTGCAGGGAGGAGGAGAACATGATGAAGAGTTGCAGGATTTGTAGGATAATTAAAAATCAGTGTAGTATATGCAAGAACATGATTTAAGAGGATACTTCTTAATAGTATTGGGGTAGCAAATGAAAAGAAAGAGACTCTTGGTCTGCACACTGGTTGGAATTACATGTACAATGATATCCAGACATCCCCATTAAATAAATAGAATGAATTAATACCTGTAACTATATTCCTCTTTATATCACATTTTTGGCAGAGAAAAAGCATGTAATTGGTCCTGTGGAGCCTGTAATGCTGCCATTACTTTCATTAAATTAAAGTATTAGCTGGTATATAAAGATTTTCTTTTATAACAGAGCCTCTAAACAGATATGACATCCTAGGATTATAGTTTAAGTTAATGATATTATGTTTTAAAATTAAAAATTATTATCTTTTCTTGGTGTTATCAAAACCATCACAAAATCAATCATGAATATACTAGGGTGACGGTTCAATTAACTTTCATGGATATTGATCAGATAAACACAAGATTTATGATTGCATTCTGAAGTCTTTATTAGGTGAGTGGGTTACCCAGACAATTAAGAACTCATCTAATAAAGACCTGGAAAATGCTGCTTTTGAGTTAAAGAGACCTTTCTTTTTCTTAGTGTTGATATATTTTTTGCTTGTTTTGTTGCACTAAGAGTACCAATTGTATAGAAGTTTATTCAGTGATCTTAATTAGAAATAACTTTTTAAGTGTTTTTAGATATATAAAATTTAAAAACTTGCAATAGTGTTCATGATGTTGTAGGAATGTCTATAAATTAACTGTACCTCATGGTTACATTTGCTTCAGTGCTTTGAACTTTTGAATCAAACCTTTCTTCCACAGTATTGGATGAATATTATCATAATTTGTGTCCCTTCCATGAAATTTTCAAATATATATTGTTTTAAAATTACCAAGTAGTCTATGCTTGTTATTTAAAAAAAAAAAAAAAAACAACCCTCCAAAACTAAAACAATGTTGAATACAGTGCCTTTCCCATCCTTGAAATGGTAACTGTATAAATAATTTGATGCCCGTCTTTCAATTTTTTATGAAGGTTCTAATTGTGTTTACATATAGACGTAAATTGATAGATGCACTCTCCTTTCTCCCCTCTCTCTTCTTCCTTTCCTTCTGACTTCTTCCCCTTTGTCTCCCTCCTCCTAATTTTTAACATAAGTGCTATAATATTGCCAAAGGAAAGAAGGCTTTGTTCTGTGCTCTGTGCTTTATTGAATTGCATTCATTGGTGGAGCTTATTTTCTTTGTCCTTTCCTGCCTTTGCCCACTCTGAAGGTTCAATAAATTCAGTCTCTGTTTTGCTTTTCTTTATGCTCAGCGGCCAAACTAGGAACCCTCCAAGAACAAATCCTCAACTATGTAAAAGAGCAATTCTGGGTGCTTTCTCCTGGGGACAGCCAGCTTTACAGCTTCAGTTCTGGCTTCCCTGGTGATTGGCCCAAGGCCCAGCATGGCTTTTGTACCAGCTGATTCCAAGTGGGAAGTTTCTCTGGGGTTTCCTTGGAAAGAAAGCTCTTTGTAGCATTCCTCTTCTGTGTCTGTTATTGGTCGAGGTTTCCTCTGCATTCGTTATCTATACTTTTGACTATGTCTGATTTCTGTTTTCCAGGACTTTCTAAAATACCTTGATATGTTGATGGTGGACCTTGTTTTTTCCTTCTTCTTCTTGAGTCTGTCATTTTGGTGGGATTTAGGGAGATCAGCAGGGTGGGGTACACATGATTGGCTCAGTCAACACCTTGAACTTCCCAGATGTCTAGTATTTTTTCTATTTCTGGACCAGGTTTTAGTACATTCTTTCAGGGAATGAACTTATTTGCACTTCCTCTGGCTTGTGTTAGAACTGGAAAGGCTTTTTTTCGTTCAGTTTTGTGTTAGTGTTAGTAATAACGCAACTCAATGATATCTCATTGCTCTCTGGGTGTGTAAATGACACTTTTGTTTGTCAACTGCATTTATAGGCCACCACAAAGTGTTACTTGCATAAGGCCAATTAGTGATGCAAAATTCACTTAAAAAATTTGACATAATTATCCACATTTCATTTGACATGTGTAAATGCCACTATCTTTTTGTCACATGTATTTGTACTTTATTTGCCAGGTAACTGAATATTGTCACCTACCTTTTTCGGCACCCAGATCAACTAGAAATATTTTTTAAAAAGTAGTAACTTTTCATGGGCACATAGTATTCCATTAATTTATCTTAAAATTATTTCTTAGTTACTATCAGAAACAAATGAATGGTTCAGCATTTGAAAAAAAATTTGTTTCAGGAAGGAGAAAACATTTTCTATTTGGCAGTTGAAGATATAGACACAGACACGGAACTTCTGATTGGCTACCTGGATAGTGACATGGAGGCCGATGAGGAAGAACAGCAAATTACGACAGTCATCACAGAAGGGGAAGTTGAAAATTCTAGAAGACAATTAACAGCAGGCGGAAAAGGTATTGCATCTTTAATTGGTGATCTGGGAGAATAAAAGTAGAAAAAATGTAGTTTTGTGGTTGAATTCTAGTTGCCTTGTAATACGGCATTCTCAAATAAAGTTAGTTTTTGTCAAAATTACTCTCAGAGGGTATCCTGTGGTGAGCTCATATTTCTTAGAGCAGGAAAAGTATGTTGGGGGTGGGTGATGGATGTGCCCAAAGGACTACCTAGGCCACAGGCAGGGGTGCACTGCTGGGGCAGCTCCTGGCTCTCACTGCTCTCACTGGCACACTGGGGCATAAGCAGTGAGGATTTTTTGTAGTCTTGCCCTAGCTCTGCCACTAATCAGTCTTGTAATACTGGGCAAGTTGTTGACTTTCTGAGACTTTACTTACTCATCTGCACATGGGAAAAGGTGAGTGTGGAGGTCAGGTACACAAGAGAGCCTGCTGGATCCGAAGGGAATTGATCCCTCTGGTTTGGGATCTTTTGGGAACCTGCAGTTTCTTGGCATCTCCTTCTGTTCTGATCACAGAAGCCTGGAGGATTGCTGAGCTGCCTTAGTTTGGTTACCAAAAACTTTCAATGACCGTAGGTTAGACCTTCCTCAGTCAGTACTGCAGCCACTTGCTTGTTAACTTCCTGGGAATAATCAGTTATTATTGGCCTTGTTGCTATTATGCTGTGTTTTACTCCAAAGGGAAGTTTAAGGGATATGTGCATGATGCTATAGGTATCCCCATTTTTTAACAGGCCTTGTCTTAATACTTTCAGGCTGTCATAACAGAATACTTTAGCTAGATACTTGGTAAGCAACATAAATTTATTGCTCACATTTCTGGAGCCTAGAAAGTCTATCAAGGTGCCAGCAGATCTGGTGTCAGGTGAGGGCCCATTTCTAATTAGGTAGCACCTTCTAGCTGTGTCCTCATGTGACAGAAGTGGCAAACAAGCTGTCTTGGGCTTCTTTTACAAGGGCATTAGGTCCATCCGTGAGGACAGGTGATCACAACCTAATCACCTCCTAAAGGCCCCACCTCTTAATACAATTCCCACTGGGCTTTAAGTTTTAACTTACGAATTTTGGGGATTCACGAACATTCAGACCATAGCAGGCTGATACTATACAGTGCTTTTCCATTTTGAGTAGCAAAGCCACCTCAGAAGTGATACTGGTTTCATTAGTCAAAGTGGTAATAATGCTTTTCCTATATATTTTCTGTTCTAACTGCATGTTCTTAGCTGAGAAATTGTCAACATTCTGTCACCATTAGTTGAGTTATTTAAGGGGAAGATAAGGACTGGGTTATATGCATTATGCTGTTTGGAATATCAAGTTTAGGGTGATGGAAATTATTTCTGTATTATTCTGTGCTTTTTGTTTTGTTTTGTTTTTGTATTTTATTTTTTCTGTCACCCCCCAGGGCAAGTTATTTTGTTCATTATTTTAATTTAAAAAGAAGTCGTCTACTTATCTATTAGTGCTCTGCTTTCTGCTTTAGTTATTAAAATGCCAGTTTTCATTATCTTTGTATAAAGAATCAACAGAAACTTAAACAATTTTTTTTTTAAACATCTGAACCAAGCACTTGTACTGTGGCTATTTTTATTTTAGAATTCTTGGTCTTGTTTAGAAAAGCAAAGAAACTAAATAAAAACAAACTCACCCAAACAAACGATGAAAGCCACCCAAATGTCTAACAGTGAATAGTTTTGTTAAATGAATTATGGTACTTCAAGTTTTAAAAAACACCAACATTTGACTTAAGAAGCTGTTAAATGGGAAAATACATAAAATTGTATACAAAGTACAATCCTAAATTTACCTCTTCTTAGACTGCGCATAAAATATGTATGTACTAAAGGCAAGTCAGGCTTTCCAGTAATACTATGACAGTTGTCTCCTCATGACAGGATTATTGGTGTTTTTTATTTTCCACATTTTCTAAATTTAATTTTATTTCATAATGAGAAAAAAATGTGTAACTTACATAGCACACTGAGAAATTTGGTCAGACATGCAGCAGTCTGTATGGGACAGTGTAGCCTAATTCACTATACTAGCTGTAATCAGCACTGTTTTTATGACCTTGGTCTTTTTTCACATGTATGTGAGATTCCCCTTGGTAATTCAATATAGTTTGCCTCAGTTTGATTTTTCTCCTTGTTAAGGTAAAAGTGAGCTTTTTAAAAATGACCAATTTCAGGAATAGCTTTTGTTTTGTAATTTAACATTTGTAATAACCCTTTGATCTGAAAAGTTAACTTTATAGGGTGAATTAATGAATTTGATTGTGTATTAATTTGGTGAAACACAAGTGATTTTGAAAATAATGTATTTCTAGTAACACTTGCTATTATTATTTGTGGCTAATCGGATTAATATTTATAGTAATAAGAATTCATTCATGGTATCATAAGCACAGTTTTAAAATTTCAGTTTTAAAATTAGAGGAAAAATGAGCATTCCTTGGCTCTGAATTTTTTTCTTATGACTATGTGTCCTTGTAAATATGCAGATGGCCTTGGCTGTAAAGAGGACTATGCTTGTCCTCAGTGTGAATCGAGTTTTACCAGTGAGGATATTCTTGCTGAGCATCTTCAGACATTACACCAGAAACCCACAGAGGAGAAAGAATTTAAGTGCAAGAGCTGTGGGAAGAAATTCCCAGTTAAGCAGGCTTTGCAAAGACAGTGCGTATATTAAAGAATATCTTTAAAATTATAAGCTAACGAAGTTTATTCCATTTGGCTTAACTCATAGTTTTTAACCTGTGTGTGTGTGTGGTGGGAGTGGGGAGGGACGCATGTTTATGTGTATGTGAGTGATTAAGCATTTTACATTGGTATTGTCATTAATTCATCTTTCTTTGTGTAGTATGTTGATTTTTGAAATATTCAAATAATGGATTTTAACATGTAAACACTGTTTATGGTAATTAGTTTTTGTCCATTTAATAATTTGCCATTATGTATCAAGTTTACGGGTTTAATCTAAAATTCAGATATGCCTAATTCAGTTAGTTCTTCGAGGTAACAGTTTTAGTTGTCTACATTTGATATTCCTTCTGGAATCTGTTAAAGAAAAGTTTAAGAAATAGAGAGTCTTCAAAATATAAAGAATTCCTGGACATTTTAGGGAACACTGTTTATTTGAGAGCAAATTTGGAGGAATAATTTAAAGATGCATAGGTACCAGATATAACAATATGATGAATTAAATTCCCACACAGAGCTCTGTACATTTCATTACTTTAACAATTTATATTAACAACATAAAATTATCTTTATTTAAATATAGGATCAGAAATTACTAAAAGTGAGAAATGCACATGCATTTGTAAAGTTTTTTACTCATTAAAGTTTTTTATTTTAATCAGATAATTGAATTCAAGTAATTTAAAAGCATATTTATATATTGGATGCAACTGTACACTATCATTTTGTTGAAGCCAGTTACTTCCAATATCATAGTAATATAAATTGTCCCATCTCATCAGCATGTCTTTCTTCTCTTATGCGCTCCCATCCTGCTGTTTACTTTCTTCCTCCAACCTTAGCTTCTCATTTTAACAGAATGTCACATTACATATGAGCAAGACCTCTTTAATATAAACTTTAATGTTACATTTTTGTGTTTCATTGAAGTAAAATTCTGAAATATGCTACATTTCATATTAAGACTGCATAGTTATTATATGCATCAACTTGTGCTTATAAAAATTGAGATAAAAATTGTGTTTAAAACCTAATAAATGTTCAGAGCATCAAAACTTATAGTAGCAGGATATTACATATTTATAAATTCTATTATACATTCTTTGAAAAAACAAGCAAGGGTGATATGCTTTTAAATAAAGTTTAGACATTATTTTGCGTTCTATTTAGCTTTTATTGCATTTAGTATTATAAATTTATACAAAAGTCACCCTGCTGAGCAAAAGCTTACGGTTAAATAAGATACCCTTAAAAATTTTGAAAGGCAAAAGCCAGAATGAAAAAAGGGATCATAAACATGACTTTATTCAGATTTAGCATAGTTTCATTTTTGTCTTAGAGTTCCAGTTTTTTGTTTTTTTTTTTCTCTTTTTCTTATTTCCCTTTAGTGTTCTTCAGTGCACAGCGAAAAGCAGTCTGAAGGAGTCTTCGCGAAGTTTTCAGTGCTCTGTTTGCAATTCTTCCTTCAGTTCAGCATCGAGGTTTTGTTTCTGTTATGAGATGGCTGTTATATTATTGTGGGTCATTTTTTGCATGCACACTTTTATGCTTCTTAGTAACCCAGTTTCACATGTCCACATAATTTAAATGCTTTTTTTCTTACCTGCATAGGTAATGCATGGAATGACCCCGAAACTCTGCTAGGAAGCATGTATTAGAAAATCTTGCTGTGATGTTTGAGTTTTGTAGGTATGTCTTCACCATTTCTTTTCCCTGTTCCGTTTTGCTGGTTGTCTTGTAGTTTTGAGCAGCACCAGGAGACTTGCCGAGGGGATGCCAGGTTTGTGTGCAAGGCTGACAGCTGCGGAAAGAGGCTGAAGAGCAAGGATGCCCTGAAAAGACACCAGGAAAATGTCCACACTGGTGAGGAGTCATTGGAGGGTCGTTTCCAAAGGGACTTCCTTTCCCCAGGCTGCAGCGATCTGTTTTTAATTCTCACTCTTAAGGAGAGAGCTGGCTTTTCCGTTGTGTTTCACACAGATGTGGAGTGCTGGCAGTGGATTTTTTTCTTTCACCGAATACTATTTCTTTCTCGAGTTGAATTTAGCAGCATTTGTTCTTTTTCTCATTTCTGAACTAATCATGACTGTGAGCCTTAGTTGGAGTCTAGTTATGTTTGAGTGGTCGGGTGCATTAAGAATTAATGTTTTTAAGTAACCGTTTTAAATGTTTTGGCATATGACATTTCTTTTAGAAATTCTTAAAATTTATCATTATTAAGTGATATCCTTCTGCCTTACTATTTTTACAGTGAAATCCAAATTTGAAAATGCTTACAGTTCTCCTAAGTTAGAGAAAATTACCAACATATTTTGACATTGGAATTGAATATCTTTGGATTAATTAAACAAATATTATTCAAATTCTATCTAATAGCTAGCTGAACAACAAAACAGATACAAAATTTGACTGTCACTTAGGTTTATCTGCTTAGCACATGGTACACTGACAGTAAATATATTTTGGCTTAGGAATTAAATCTATTGTAGTGGGTTAAATAGATGGTTGTATTGTCCCAGTTAACTTTTTACTTCTTGTCTTTTTACCTCTGTAGATTTCCTTCTTAAAGGAAGTTGAGAGTAATGAAACCCTGCATGTTCTTCTGTGCATATTCTTTGCTCATGTGTTTACTTTTGCCCTTGACTTCTGGGAAGTGGGTGGATATGTGTCTCTGGATGTAGGGGAAAGTGGATTTCTTTTCTCCCTTCAGTTATTTATTCTCACATTTAGGTGAAGATGATAATCTGCACCCAGCATCTGTGTCTTATGTTTGTTCATTGTCCAAAAAGTATTAACTTTAATAATAATACAATTACAGAGGCTTCCATGAGCACAACTGCTAGCTGCGACTTTGCATCATTGGTTGGGCTGCATTTTAAGTGTGACCTGTGGTGAAAGCTCTGTGTGATGGAAGTAGGGCCTTGTGAAATGCACCTCCAGCTTGCTGCCCATCACTAGGCTTTTACAGTGTTCTAGTTTCTTTTTTTCCTTTTGAAGAATATGTGGCTGATTTAGGGAAGATGGCATTTTCTGAATTCAGTATACTGGGACATTCCCTGTGATTGCAAAAGGCAAGAGTAACTTTTTGATAAACTTGCCTTCATTGTTTTTTGATTTCCAATGCTGTTCTAGTTAAAATGCTATTCTTAATTTTCTTCATCTATGTCTGCAATATATTGTAATAGAACTTTCATGTCAGTTTTAAAGTTTAAGTTTGCTGAACTAAGTAAAAAACCAGATGCATATGAAAGTCTGGAAACTTGCATTCTTATTACTGTGCATGTGGTCTTCAGGCTGTGCTGTAAGCACAGTTTCTTTAAGGCTTCTTGTAGTTGGCCTTGCATATTGTAATATTACTGATTCTAGAAATTTATGTTGATTTTTTTAGGAAATAATTCATAAAAGGAAATCTTGTTTTTTATATATATTTTTATTTGTGAACCATATAAAATGTGAAATCTTGCTGTATTTTAGCTAAAGGTTACTATGCCATATGTTTTGCTGGGGTTGGTACATGATGTCATTCTCTCATTCATAGTACGTCTCTTGCTTCTTTCCTTTCCTCCATGGGCTACACAGGCATTTGAGGAAATAGTATTCCCTATTGGAGATAGCAAAGCAAAGAAGCTTTCATATACATGGTTATAGAATCCTTTATTATAGAAAGGCAAAGGCACTCAAAGAAAGAGATCTTTGATGGCAAATGTTTTTTTGTTAAGGTAATATGAATTGAGGATGATGATTAGAGAGAAGCTGAATTTTTAAATATAGATCACATTTTTCCATAGAAACTGTAGCATGTGGTAGGTGGGTTCTCAGACCAGCTCCTGGAAGCGTACTTAGCCCACAATGTGTCGAAACTTGAATACTTAAGTGATTGTCTGTTCAGTGCAGTTGTATTCATTTCCTCACTTGGCTTACTGGCGTACTGTGTTCCTTAATGTTTTTGAAAGTTAAATCTGAAAGTCAAATATCGGATTTATCTAAATAGGAAACTTAGGACAGTATAACATCTACGTATGGCTTTGCCGGTTCTGTTATCCATGAGCCTAGGGGAACTGGTAGAGCAATGTGGGTCCTCACAGTTACCTAAGAGGAGATAGAGAGTGAAGGGGCCAAGCTCCTCAATCACTTCCCATCTTTCTCTTTTGCTTAGATTCTATGGTCGCATACAAAGAGACTTTGCATTTATGGGAGATACCATTTATCTACATTCTCAGATGAATAGGAATACATGTTTCTTGTGTGTCTCCTCAGAGGAAATAGGATTCTTCTATGGTGAAGAAGAGGAACAGCCATGAAAGGAGAAAGAAAATTGAAGAGTGGGGATGGGGGTTTGATACCTACAGGTGGAGCCATGTCAGGAGTGCAGGAGTAAAGTGAGAGGAGTGGATGGAGAAATCTAGTTCATCTCCTATCTCGTCCTCTAACCTACCCAGTGGGAAAGAATAGGGCCTAGTATCAAGGAGCAGCTGCTACAAGGGCTAGAATAGGGCAGTAAGATAAGGGTGGAAGATGGACCAACCAACTAGTGGGAGCTGGAAAAGAAGGAATATTCTTTCTGAATGGTGCCTCTTGTATGATATGTTTAGGAAATTGATGACCAAATCTATGCTATCAGATAATCATTTTGCCTGGGAGAATTTTCTCCTTTAGTAGCCATGTTACTTTTCAGTCACTAAGAAGCATTTTCTTGGCTATCATATTTAGTCTGCTAAAAACAGTGCATTAAATGTAATAGACATCTTGAATAATAAGGCAAAAATTCATATTTGCCATTTCACAGTGTATTTCTCTGTCATAAATGCAGTCCTATAATAAAATAAAATCATTTTTTAATGATGGTTTTACTTGTTTTAGATTTGCTTCAAAATATGGAGAAATGGGGGTGTGGTTGGGGTTGAGGTTGGGGCAGGAATGGCCATGGGGAGCTATTGTTGGGGCTAGATGATAGACACATGGTGGATCATTATACTATATGCTTACTGTTTGTATATTTGAAATCAGCCAATTAAAAGTTGAAAACACATTTTATGGTTATTCATTGTGGTACATTTGATATTCTTATTATATCACATTTAATAATGTTTGCCTATTCATTTCTATAACTGCAAAATTTGAAGTATGAAATGAGCTACTATAAACATAATCACTACATAAGAAGACAGAATTGGGCTTTATTTGTGTAATAGTATGATTGCCAACATATTGTTTTATTGTATTTTATTTCTTAAAATTAATTTGATAAACATATACTTAGAGATTGTATAAGACTCCAGTGCTGGATAGAATTGCCTATAAATTCTATCTTAAAAACCCAGATGATTAAATAAAATATTCTGTTGAAATATAAAAGAAAGTAACACAATTTATGAATTAATAAATTTAGTTTTTTCTTTTACAAACATATTTAGTTAATTTTAATTTTGATTTGAATTCCTTATGGATATATGCTTTTCTATTTTAATACTATACCATATTAGTACATGGAAAAGTGAATGGCCTGTTTTATATATGTAGATAGTGGTATATGAAGCTATGAAGATCTCTCAAATTTAAAAAGAAAGTTTTTACACAGAATGAGAGAAAATATTTGCAAACTACCCGTCTGACAAGTGATTAATAACCAGAATGTAGAAGGTGCTCAAACAACTCAACGGGAAAAAAATCAAATAATCTAATTAAAAAATGGACAAAAAAATCTAAATAGACATTTTTCAAAAGAAGACATATAAATAGCCAACAGGTATGTGAAAAAATGTTCAAAGAAATTAATCATCAGAAAAAATGCAAATCAAAACTATAGTGATACATCATCTCACCCTAGTTAAAATGGCTTTTATCCAAAAGACAGGCAATAACGAATGCTGGGGAGGGTGTGGAGAAAAGGGAAGGCTTGTACATTGTTGGTAGGAATGTAAATTAGTGTGGCCTCTGTAGACAATAGTATGGTGGTTAGTCACAAAACTGAAGATAGAACTACCATATGATCTGGCAATTTCACTGTTAGATATACCCCAATGAAAGGAAACCAGTATATTGAAGAGATACCTGCATTCCCATGTTTGTTACAGCACTATTCACGATAGCCAAGATTTGGAATCAACCTAAGTGTCCATCAGTGAGAGAATGGGTAAAGGTAATTTTCTTAAGTGGAGTAAGCCAGGTACAGACACACAAATTTCACATGTGCTCACTTATATATGGAAACTAAAATTAAAACTATTAAACTCATGAAGATAGAAAATGAAATGATGGTTTCTGGAGGCTGGGAAGGGTAGCAAGGGCAGGGTGAATAAAATGGGGATAGTTGTAGGTGTAAAAGTATAGTTAGAATGAATACAATCTGATACAATACAATTTGATAGCATAACAGGGTGACTATAGTCAACAATAAATTATTGTATATTTAAAAATAACCAAAAGAATAGAATTGGAATGTTCTTAACACAAAAAAATGATAGATGCTTGAGGTGATGGATACCCTGATGTGGTTATTACACATTGCATGCCTATATCAAAACATCACATGTACCCTATAAATATAGGCACCTGCTATGTACTCATAATAATAAAAAAATTATGAAAAGGAACATAAGTTTCTGCATTCTCTTAGGAGGTTGGGTCTTTATTCTGAGGGCTCCCCTATATACATGTTAAGTAAATTTGTATGTCCTTTCTCTAATTAAAAATAATTAAATATAAGATTTAAAATACAACTTACTCTTTAAGTTTAATGGATATATCTACAACACTGAATAGTTTAGAATTCTAATTTATGAAGATGAACTTGCATATCACCTAAAATACTATTTGTTGCTCCTTTTAATAGTTTCATTTAAATCATGATGGTATTTTATTTCTATTTTAGGGGATCCTAAGAAAAAGCTTATATGTTCAGTGTGCAATAAAAAGTGTTCTTCAGCATCAAGCCTGCAGGAACATAGAAAGGTCAGTAAGATAAAGATTAACTTTCATCACAGTTTAATATCTATCTTTAATAATTTTAATATATTTTACAGTTAGTATAAAAGCTACCAAGTTATTTTGATGTGAAAAGATAATCTGAAAAATAAATAGCAAATATTAACTGTAACAACATTAGCAACTAGTTAATAGAATTTACAATAAAATATAATTAAAATGAAGTTTTAATTTTTGTTCTGGTCATGACAAGGTCCAATATATTTATATTATATTTATTATAACAAAGATGTAAATGATTATTCTTAATTTCACATACTTTCTTTTAGCATAGCTACAAGCATGAGATATTTTAGTATTTACAAAAGGGAAGAGATGGTATTAGAGAAAATAAAATTTTACTTTTATGGTTTATAAAATGAATTTTATCTCTGTTTATATATGGATGTATTACAAAGTAATTTGACAGGGCTTAAAATTTGTATGATTTTTAATCCAGATCCCACCATGTGCTGTGGATTTAACTTATAATGTGTAAGGTAGCTTAATTGTTGTATTGATATGTCTGAGGTTATGTCTTGTATGTTTAGCGATTTTGATCCTTAAAGTAGAAATAACAGGACAAGCACCAGGCCAGGAATCAGGGTAGTGGGTTTCTTCTTCTGTCACTAACCTTCCATGTAACATTAGGCCTTTCTTTTCCCGTTTATAAAATGGGACACTGAATTGATCAGTATTCTCTTGTTTATTCTCTGTGTGCCATAAAATTACTTTTTTTTTTTTTTTCAGTTTTCAAGTAGCAGTGTATTTTAAAATTATACTTTAAGTTCTGGGGTACATGTGCGAACTTGCAGTTTTGTTACATAGGTATACACATGCCACAGTGGTTTGCTGCATCTATCACCCTATCATCTACATTAGGTATTTCTCCTAAAGATATCCACCCCATTCCCCCACCTCCTGCAATCCCTCCCCTAGTCCCTTACCTCCCAACAGGCCCCAGTGTGTGATGCTCCCCTCCCTGTGTCCCTGTGCTCTCATTGTTCAATACCCACCTATGAGTGAGAACATGCCATGTTTGGTTTTCTGTTCTTGTGTCAGTTTGCTGAGAATGAAGGTTTCCAGCATTATCCATGTCCTTGCAAAGAATATGAACTCATTCTTTTTTATGGCTCCATAGTATTTCATGGTGTATAGGTGCCACATTTTCTTTATCCAGTCTATCATTGATGGGCATTTGGGTTGGTTCCAAGTCTTTGCTATTATGAATAGTGCCACAGTAAACATACGTGTGCATGTGTCTTTATAATAGAATGAGTTATAATCCTTTGGGTATATACCCAATAATGGGCTTACTGGGTTAAATGGTATTTCTGGTCCTAGATCCTTGAGGAATTGTCACACTGTCTTCCACAATGGTTGAACTAATTTACACTCCTACCAACAGTATAAAAGTGTTTCTGTTTCTCCACATCCTTTCCAGCATCTTTTGTTTCTTGATTTTTTAATGAACACCATTCTAACTGATGTGAGATGGTATCTCAATGTGGTTTTGATTTGCATTTCTCTAATGACCTCTGAGGAGGGGCTTTTTTTCATATGTTTGTTGGGTGCATAAATATCTTCTTTTGAGAAGTGTCTGTTCATATCCTTTGCTTACTTTTTGATGGTTTTTTTTTTCTTGTAAATTTGTTTAAGTTCTTTGTAAATTCTGGATATTAGCCCTTTGTCAGATGGGTAGATCACAAAATTTTTCTCCCATTCTGTTGGTTGCTGGTTCACTGTGATGATAGTTTCTTTTGCTGTGCAGAAGCCCTTAAGTTTAATTAGATCCCATTTGTCTATTTTGGCTTTTGTTGCCATTGCTTTTGGCATTTTAGTCATGAAGTCCTTGCTCATGCCTATGTCCTGAATGGTATTGCCCAGGTGTTCTTTTAGGATTTTTATGGTGTTCAGTCTTATGTTTAAATGATTAATCTAACTGGAGTTAATTTTTGTATAAGATATGAGTAAGGAATCCATTTTCAGCTTTCTGCATATGGTTATCCAATTTTCCCGACAACGTTTATTAAAAAGGGGATCTTTTCCCCATTGCTTGTTTTTGTCAGATTTGTCAAAGATCAGATGGTTATAAATGTGTGGCATTATTTCTGAGGCCTTTGCTCTGTTCCATTGGTCTATATCTCTGTTTTGGTACCAGTATCATGCTGTTTTGATTACTGTAGTCTTGTAGTATAGCTTAAAATCAGGTAACAGGATGCCTCCAGCTTTGCTTTTTTGCTTTTTTTACTTAGGATTGTCTTGGCTATGCAGGCTCTTTTTTGGTTCCATATGAAGTTTAAGGTAGTTTTTTTCCGATTCTGTGAAGAAAGTCATTGGTAGCTTGATGGGGATAGCATTGAATCTATAGATTTCTTTGGGCAGTATGGCCATTTTCATGATATTGATTCTTTCTAACCATGAGCGTGAAATGTTTTTCCATCCGTTTGTGTCCTCTCTTAATTCCTTGAGCAGTGGTTTGTAGTTCTCCTTGAAGAGGTCCTTCACATTCCCTGTTAGTTGTATTCCTAGGTATTTAATTCTCTTTGTAGCAATTGTGAATGGCAGTTCACTCATGATTTGACTGTTTGTCTGTTATTGATGTATAGGAATGTCTTATTAGATTGTTTAGAGGTATGGAATGCTTTCTGAATTTGTGTGTCCTCCTTGTGCAGAGGCCATGCTAATCTTCTTTGTTACATTCCAGTTTCAGTGCTGTTAAAAACTGACCCAAGAACAGAAAATCAAACACCGCGTGTTCTCACTCATAGTTGGGTGTTGAGCAATGAGAACCCAGGGACAAAGGGAGAGGAGCATTACACACTGGCGTCTGTTGGGTGGGGCTAAGGAAGAGACAGCATGGGGTTGGGGAGGTCGGGGAGGAATAACATGGGGAGAAATGCCAGATGTAGGTGACGGTGGGATGGAGACAGCGAACCACATTACCACATGTGTACCTATGCAACAATCCTGCATGATCTGCACATGTACCCCAGAACCTAAAGTACAATAAATAAATAAATAAACAAACAAATTTTTAAAAAAAGGAGCACTGAGACTGCTTTTAAAAGATTTTTTGCCTGGAATACCCATCCAGGGGACCCTTTTATAGGTCTTTTTTCCTCCCTCCCTATCACCCTTATGGCTTCTGAAGCAGAACCCTTGTGACTAAAGCAATTCATCTTCTGAAGAGATAAAAAAATGAAGTCTACTAGAACAGATGTCTTCTAAGTATCCTCTTTTATAATTCTATGTTTTATTTCTCTGACACATTTAAATCTTAGAGGTTGAAATTTAAGCTATTTTATCAAATAGAGCAATGGTTGCCAACCTTCTTGGTGCTAGGGACTGCTTTCCTGGAAGACAAGTTCTCCATGGACAGGGGGTTAGGGGAGGTAGTTTTGGGATGATTCAAGTAAATTACATTTATTGTGTACTTTATTTCTATTATTATTACATTATAGCATATAATGAAATAAAAATTATACAACTCACCAGAATATAGAATCAATTAGAGCCCTGAGTTTGTTCTCCTGGGAGTGATAGGAGACAGTGACAGATCATCAAGCATCAGAAACTCCTATGTGATGTTAATGGAGTACAGAAACCATAACTTATGCCTCTGAGTGATCTTTGCAGAATGTTAGTAAGTTGCTAGCTCAATGTAGCCCTTCCTCCATTTCAGTCATAGTGCTTCACTAGTCAGCCTTTCCGAATCCATAGGCAACTTTTGTTGACTCCAATTGCAACTTTCCTTATAGTTTGGGATGTCCAATGTCTAACAGAATTTGGTTGCAGTATTTTTGCCTTGCTAGTAGATGATGCTTTATGACAATGCCAAATTATAGTATAGTATGGTATCTTTTTTTTTTTTTTTTTTTTTTTTTTGAGATGGAGTCTCGCACTGTCGCCAAGACTGTAGTGCAGTGGCATTATCTCGGCTCACTGCAATCTCTGCCTCCTGGGTTCAAGCAATTCTCCTGCCTCAGCCTCCCGAGTGGCTGGGAATACAGGTGTGCGCCACCACACCCAGCTAATTTTTTCGTATTTTTAGTAGAGACGAGGTTTCACCATGTTGGCCAGGATGGTCTCAGTCTCCGGACTTCATGATCCACCCACCTTGGCCTCCCGAAGTGCTGGGATTACAGCAGTCTAGTATCTTAAATTATTATATATTATCTCATATAATGATAGGGTATGTTATGAGTCTTCTTGAAAATAATTTGGGAGTTCAAATTTTAAAATATTACCCTCCAAATTAATTTGATACACTGTATATTTTATAAAATCTCATATATACTTTATTTAGCATTTGGCATAATTAAATAGTATTATTTGTCATTTTCACTTTAAATATGATCTTTTCATTAAGACTTTTAAAGAATATTAAAAATAGCTTTGACTTGAATTTTTCACTATAAATGAGATAGTCAGTACAAAAATGGTTTAATATATAGTAGATGTTCCATATATAATGTTGGAAATATCAGTTTAATTCAACCTTGAAAAATGTTTCACGGTGAAGCCACGAGAGTTAAGAAGTGAACAGTATTTCATTTAAAAATGAAACAAATGAACAGCGTTTTCTTTAACAGTTTCTACCTTATATATGGATTAATATTTTTTATAATTTTCTACATCAATACCATTTTAACATTAAAAATGAAAACAAGCAAAAGTTTTCATTTATATATGACTCAGAAGGTATGACATCTCTTAGACTATCTTGTTTGTCATTACAAAATTATATAGTATATATTTCAGAAACAGAGTTTAATTATATAAATCTGCTTTTACTATATTTAAATTAACGTTACAAGTCATATCACTGGTCCTCAAACACAGGTATTTAACCGAAGCCACTGTGAAAGTCTTTGGTGATTGAAGAGGCTGCCTTTAACATGCCTCAGGCTGGAAGGTTTTCTTCTGTGCTGTGGGGCACTAGCATTCCAAACGCTTGTGCAGGCATGCAGGTCATCATGCAGAGCCCACATGCTTTCTAAAGTAACTCTTTGGATTCCAGATATCCCCTCATAGATGCTATTGCATCTAAGCAGGGGAGATAAGTCAGACTCTTGTGGAATGACGTATTTTGGCTTCTGCCTTGTTTCTCTACTTTTTCCCTGCTTTTCGTAACTGAATTTAATGACTCATCGAGAGTCAGACCTGACAGAAGCAGAGGCTGGTTGGCAACCTTCGACCTGCCACGTGCTCAGGCATTGAATTAAGCCGTGGGCTGCAGGCCTGGGATCTGTCAGCCTTGTCCCAGCATCTGTTTCCCTGCCTTGAGGCCTTCTATGGCCACTTATATCAAGAGAACCATTTATCAGGGGCCAGCGGAGTCCTCCACTCGTTACTGATGTGCTGTACCAGTTCAGGGACTTTTGCCGAGATCTTTCACTCTGTACTGTTGTTCTAGTTATTCTGCAGGGACACTGTCTTGGCTTCTTGCACAAGGGCCTTTGCTTCTCTGGGATTTAGTATTTTAAGCTGGACCTTTAATGAGGTTGAAACAAAAACATGACTTCACCACAACCATTTTTGAATATTTAGCAAGATAGTGTGATGACGTTGTTCATTGGGATGATCAGTATTTCTAATATAATATGTAATATATTCCTTTTAGAATTGAATACTTGGTTTCTGAAAAACTAGACTTCTATTTTTCATACCACCTATCCAGTTTCTCTGTGTTAGTGTCTGGGAGGGAAAGAACTAACTTAATATTCAGTTCTAATATTTATATTAGCCAATTGTTTACTAAAGTTATATCCCCCCTTATTGTGCTTTTAACGTACATTTTATTCTGTATATTTAAGTTATACAACATAATGTCGTGAGATTCACATATAGTTAAAATGGTTATTTTAGTGAAACATATTAATGCATCCTTTATCTCACATAGTTACTCATTTTTCCTCTTGTGGCACAGAGCAACTATAATCTCATTTAGCAAAAATCCTGACTATAATACACTATTATTAATTGTAATCTTCATATTGTCCATTAAATCTTTAGAGTTATTCATCCTACATATCTGCTACTTTGGATCCTTTGACTAGATTTCCTCATTTTTAAAATTGTAGTGTTCCTGTCATGTGAGACTTCTTTTTTTTTTGAGACAGAGTCACTCTGTCACCCATGCTGGAACGCAATAATATGAACACAGCTCACTGAAGCCTCAAGTTCCCAGGTTCAAACGATCATCCCGCTTCAGCCTCCTGTGCAGCTGTGACCACAAACATGTGCCACCACACCTGCCTAATTTATTTTTTATTTTTTTATAGGGACAAGGTCTCACTTTGTTGTCCAGGGTAGTCTCAAACTCTTGGGCTCAAGTAATCATTCTGCATTGGACTCCCAAAGTGCTGGGTTTATAAATGTGAGTCACGGAATCTGGCTCATGTGAAACTTTTATTGTGAACTAAATGCTTTTCAGAATCCTATCTCTTCAGTCTTTTGCTGTAATTAATGTTGCACTCTCCACTATGTACATTTAAGTTTAGAATATTGTTGTCTACTGTAAAGGGAGTATTATTAACTGGATGCTACATATTTCCAAGTCCAAATTTGTGCATAACAAAATAGTTATTATATATTAGGTATAATTTTTACATAGCATAAATTTAATTATGTACTAATAGGACAGTTATATTACATTTTTAAGGACTATGAATCTTATGCCTCAAATGATATTTTTTTTACTAGGTAACTTATGTGCATTGCATTTTCAATGTATACAGATTAGTGTGAACAAATTAGGGCTGAACTATATAATATATAGTCTGGATATTGCAGTAAAAACTAGTCACATGTTTACACTTTTGCTTTAGAGCTATGTAATTTATTAGGCTTTGACAGTTGATTTAACTGTTTAACTTTTGCAGATTCATGAGATATTTGATTGTCAAGAATGTATGAAGAAATTTATTTCAGCTAATCAGCTAAAACGTCATATGATCACTCATTCAGGTAAACTATATACTTTTTTGTTTATATGAATATCATTACAAAAGAATTACATTGTCACTTTTATAAACTCCAAGAGTGGTAATCGGGGGCCCTAGATATAAATCCTACTTTGGACATTTAGTTACTTAATTCTCTAGACCTCAGCTTATTTACAGAGCAAAGGTGTTTAGAGTAAATGATATTGAAGATCTCCAGAATCACCATGTAATTTGTCACTTATTTGTCCTTGAGCTTCAGTTTCTTTATTTTTCATCTGTGAAATGGGATACTGGTGCCTACCTTTCAAATTAGCCGTGAAGGTTAAATGAGATCATTTAGGTATTGTGCTAGCAAAGTGTCTGGCATTTAGTAGATATTCAAAAATTATAATTCCTGCATTTCTAGATACTTTTACATTCTAGCTAAGGTACTAATAAATGTTATTAAGAAATCTATAAATACATTTTGAGTATATAAATTTTTAAAGCTATAGTTTCATTTAAGCAAGTTTTAGGAATAGGTCTGTTTTACTTAATGCAGACTAAAAAAATCAGCTCCAAAAATAATTTTTACTTTATGGAGTCTCTAGAGTTTAAGAAGTCTATAATTTAAGGTGATTGAAGTCAGAATGTTTTTGAATATGCACTTTGTAGATACATATGAGTATTTTAGTAATTTAAAATCAAAGATCAAAACCTGTTATCTGGTAGGTATGCTTTATTTGATACATGTTGTGTATTTTTTATTTCAGTGTCAATGTTATATGGATATTGCATAAATATGGATTTTACATGCCAATCTAAATGTTTGGTTCCTGCTGAGCATTGGAAGCTCTGCCTCCATGAGGCCTGTGTGGCCCAGGGGGAGGCAGCTGTGTTCTTTACCTCCATCCCTGTCAGGTCACTTTCTGCATTTGAGGCCCTGACCCTGATGTAAACTGTCACGTATCAGCATGGTTTTCATCTGGAAATAGGATTTCTTCCATAAATTTAAACCTTTTCTTTATATCTAAGCCACTTTAAAATTTCAAAATACATCTGTAAGATAACAGCTCATATTTCATTTGGTAGTAGGCACATTTGTCCTAACATAGGTAGACTGGGTGGTAGATGTTTTTTAGTTGTTTGACCATGCTTTAGTTTACTTACCATAAGAATTAACTTAAGGTAAGGATGTTCCTTTGCATATGTATATATATATGCATATATGCACACATACATATATATATATATATATATATATATATATATATATATACATGAGATTGTCTGCACTCTTTTTTTTTAACAGAAAAACGACCCTATAAATGTGAGATTTGTAATAAGTCTTTCAAGAGGCTTGATCAAGTGGGTGCTCACAAAGTAATACACAGTGAAGACAAACCTTACAAATGCAAACTTTGTGGAAAGGGATTTGCCCACAGAAATGTTTACAAGAATCATAAGAAGGTAAAAGCTTATTAATACTATTATTGATTTTTATGGATTTGCTGTTGTGATTTTCAGTTTTTACCTTTGAAAAAGCTTTTGCATATCTGGGACCTACGGTATATGATGGATCGCCTGGGGAAGATCTTCTGCATTGTATCATTCACTTGGGCCATAACGCCTCACTGCCTCCTTTCTGTCTTCCACTCTCTTTTGAAACTGTCCTCATAAGCAGAGTACCTAGTTTTTCTTAACATAGTTATTAAATTAATTTGTGGGCCACGGGATTTACTAATTACAAAGTCTTTATTCTGTTTCTTCTTTCCATAAGGTTTGATAATTTTATTTACATTATCTTTTTGAAATTCTCTTCATCCTCGGGATCCTTGTAGTATGCTCTGCTAGGTCTTCTGCCAATTTCTGTGAACATTTTTCACTTCCTTTCCCCTCAGTAGGTTATTCTGGATTCTGTGCGTGTGAACTTCTGTGTTCTCTCTCCTTAAGAAATGTCCACTACATCCAAGACTTCTGCTATCAACACCATACTGATGAATTCCAAATGATTTATTTTCTTTAATCCCAAGTTTCAGACTCACATTTATGACTGGGCATCTTTTAGAAATAATGAAATCAGCATGCCCCAGAATGGCTTTTTCTTTCCCGTTGTCCGAGATAACTTCTCTTTTGGAGTTTCCTCTTTTAATGACAAAAGCATGTAATTATCTTAGTCTCTTTATTCATTATTGGTCCCTTTATAAAATTAGAAGTCAGATATAAAGACTCTACCCTTTGCAGTATCTCATCACCTTCACAATCATCCCTTCCTTTACCATTCCAACATCGTGATTATTTTTCCTCCGGATTGCTTTAATACTCATCTAATTAGGCTTGTCACTTCTTGCTGCAATCAGTCCTACCAGGCAAATCGTCCCAAAGCATCACTCTAGAGTATCAGTCTCATACTCTAATATTAAAAGTAGATTGCTAGTGCCTACATATGTGATAGTATGTACACCTTCACCTGTCATTCAGAGTTCTCTAGATCATGACCTCAACCTACTTCTCCATCTTTTATCCTTTTATCTGCATTAACCATACCTAAAACAACTAAATATTTGCCTTCCTTCTGTGTGACCTTCTCTTTCCTTCTCTCCACCTTCCTCTTTTTCAAGTTATTAATGTCCTAGTTTCTTCTGTTGATTTTTGTTTTCATCTCTCATATTTTACCTTTGCTCAAGTTGTTGTTTCAGAATGTATCATGTAGTTAAAACATAATGCTTGAACTGAATTCAGGAAATTTGTCCAATGATAGTCAACATCTTAGAAATGCATGTAAAAACATTTTTGTGATATACAAAATATTTGCTTATTGATTTTGGTTGATGTATTTTAGTATGCTATTAAATAGCAGGTATATGATCTTTTAAAAATAACTTGTTATTTTTTTCAGTTATACTCCATGGGGATTATAATTATGATATTTATGGGATACTTCCAAAGACTTTATTTTATCTCTTTTGAAATCATTTAAAAATTATACCAATTTCAGCTTTAGTCCAAAAAGAGAAGTAAAAAGACAGATTTACCAAATATTAGTGTTGTTATAGTGTCTTAAATTGTCTCTGCCCAATTTCTTCTTTACCGTCTTTATGTGTACCTCAAGCATTGTATAGTCAGGACAGGACTGCGTTCATTACTGCTGCTTTCGAATTACATGACTGTAAGAAATTATCTGGCTAGTTTCCTGTTCAGTCTCTGGAACCCTCTTACTCCTTTCTTTGATGAAACTGATCTACCCACATTTATGAGTTTTTCACAGTTTGGCTCATGTTATATGCCATATGGGAATTTGGCACAGGATCTTTGCACCATGTCTTATACTTTAAGCCATAAATCATATAAAAGTAATAATGATGTCTTAGGAAGCATAGAAGCAATGATGCCTATAATTTCCAAAGTGGAAAGTACATTCAATCCTTCTGCCCTAGACAAATGTGTTTCTTACTGTGTTATGATCCTAGCCTATATTTGGCACTGTTATATGAAAATACCTGAAATATTCTCCAAGAATCATATAAAAACAAAAGATCAATCTTTTTTTCCATCACAATCATTAAGGGCTAGTTGGGAAACATAAAAGTAAGGATATGCCACAGAAATCAGAAAAAAAAGGTTAAGAGTCAGTATGATCCTTATATTTGAGTATGCTCAAGGGTTGTTACTTTAAATGAATTAATGATTCTTTTGTTTATTTGAGTATGTAATATATGCATTTTTATTATACTTATTTGAGTTATTTTGGGTTGGTTCTTCTCTTTTAACATTTAGACTTGCTTGAAAAATGGAATATTATTTTTCGTTGTGATGATGATAGCATATAGAGAAATTTAATTTATTTTATTTTTATATTTTGAAATGGATTCTCACACTGTTGATCCTTATGAAATGTCAACTACATCCATGACTTGAAGTGCAGTGGTGCAATCTTGGCTCACTGAAGCCTCTGCCTCACAGGTTCAAGTGATTCTTGTGCCTCAGCCTTCCAAGTAGCTGGGACTACAGTCATACTCCACCATGCCTAGCTAATAGAGTATATATATTTTTTTGTATTTTTACAAAATATATTTTTAATAGAGATGGGGTTTCACTATGTTGGCCAGGCTGGTCCAGAACTCATGATGTCAAGCAGTCTGACTGCCTTGGCCTCCCAAAATGTTGGGATTACAGACATGAGCCACAGTGCCCAGCCAGCATGTAGAGAAATTTTAAAGGGGTGGTTTTTATTTTGAAAATTTAGTTACTCATTTCATCATCTTGCCAGTTATGTGGGTTCAATAGGTTACTTTTTCTTCTCCTTCATTTTTCTGACAATGATTTTATCTGAATTATAGTTGTATTTTAGGATCTAGCTAAAAAAAATCATTTATCTGGATTCAAATATATTTTGATTCTGTAAATCACAGTTTGACCAATTAGAAGCTCTATTAGTCTTCACCCTCCATTGTGTTTCCTATCATGTATAATGCAGAGCAAAATTTGGGTGGTATACAGTGCTTCCCTCCTCCCGCTATAGGATACATGTTTAGATGTACTGAGCCTTGGATCCTAGAGCTGACACTACTTGCTTGATGATGGAAGTGAGTATGGAGGAGTTTTGTCCTGATGAAGTAATAAAGAAGCTTCTGGGGGACAGGCGTGTGTCTGTTCAAATAAAGGATATTTTTTTCTGACCTTTTACATAGACTTCCAGGGATGAAACTTTAGAGGCTTATGAGGAAATCTAGTCACAGCTTCTCCTGGAATAATTCCTTGTGGGCCTTAATGTCTCATCAATTCTTTTTCAAATTTTGGGCCATGACTACTTTGTGCATCTTGAAATCAATGTACTGAGTGATGACTGGCCATTAAAAAATAGAATAGAAAATAGAGTAAAAGGTCATTCAATAAAACAATACATGTGTGTGTGTGTGTGTCTGTGTGTGTGTGTGTGTTCAGTTCTGGAGTCAGAATTATTTATCTGGTCACAGTCAAACAAGATAAAACGCAATATAGTTCACTCTTTGCCTGGGATAAATTTTATTAGACCTTAAAGTAAGAAGTTTTTCCCCACAAATATGGTTTAGATTCTAATTATTATTATTATTATTTTATTTTTATACTTTAAGTTTTAAGATACATGTGCAGAAGGGGCAGGTTTGTTACATAGGTATACACATGCCATGGTAGTTTGCTTCACACATCAAACTGTCATCTACATTAGGTATTTCTCCTAATGCTATCCCTTCCCTATTTCCCTACCCCTCAACAGGCACTGCTGTGTGATGTTCCCCTCCCTGTGTCCATGTGTTCTCATTGTTCAACTCCTACTTATGAGTGAGAACATTCAGTGTTTTATTTCTGTTCTTGTGATAGTTGGCTGAGAATGATGGTTTCCAGTTTCATCCTTGTCCCTGGAAAGGACATGAACTCATCCTTTTTTATGGCTGCATAGTATTCCATGGTGTATATGTTCCGCATTTTCTTTATCCAGTCTATTGGTATTTGGGCTGGTTCCAAGACTTTGCTATTGTGCACAGTGCCACAATAAACCGATGTGTGCATGTGTCTTTATAGTATGATTTATAATCCTTTGGGTATAGAACATCATGGATTACATTTTAAAATCAAAATATATGGTTTAAGTTTAACATAGTGAAAAAAAAGAGTTCTTCACAATTTCCTGGAAAGATGTTATCTTGGAGGCTGAGAGATGTTCACTCAACAGAGTACAGCCACTCTTTCCTTTAGCTTTTGCATCAGGTTATTCTTCTTTGGTGATGCTGCAGGAGAGATGCTGCACCATTCATTTAAGGTGTTGCTGTATTGTACAAAATCACAAGCTGCGCACATTATGAGGGACATGCAGGATTTGAACCTGACAGAAGGAACCACAGATACAGGTCACTATCCAAAGCTTATTTAGCTAATGGCAAATTGCTTACCCAATTTTAATTGTTCTTTTTCTTAGGTTGATGATGAGATAGCAATGTACAATTTAAAACAATTTTTTTCACATTTTTTTCTTTATTGAGGCATAATGAGTGAAATTTATGTGTGTTTATGGTGTACAGTGTAATGTACACACACACATTGTGAAATGATTACCACCTAATTAACGTATTCATTGCTTACACTTATCTTTTTTGTAGTGAAAATATCCACAATCTATTCTGTTAATTTTAAGTGTTCTCCCTACAAAAAAAGGATAAGCATATGAGATAATGGATATGTTAATTAGCTTGATTTAGCCATTTCACTAAACATCATGTTGTATACCATATAAATACAATTTTTATGTGTCAATGAAAATAAAGATCTACTTTCTTAGCAGTCTTCAAGTACATACCGCATTATTACTGAATGTAGCCACAATGCTATCCTACAGCAGTCCTCAACTTTCTTGATGCCAGGGACCAGTTTCATGGAAGACAGTTTTTCCATGGACCAGTGTTGGGCAGGGGGTGGTTTTGGGATGATTCAAG